AAAAACTATCTTGAAATGCGATCATAATTCGTGCAGTTTAAAGAGTGTACGCAAAGGCTACCCTGGGACATTTGCGCTTTTAAGAGCATGGACTATGCACCATCTCTCCTCGCATGGCTTCAAGCTACGTATAGGCAATCAACGAATTGCTCACCTCTACAGCTGTTCACTCATTTCAGAGAGGATCCAAAACTGTTGAAATAATTACCTTCATTTTGATGACCTTGGTGTCTCCGCGAACTTTGCGAACTGGATTTATGTTAGCGTGTTCTCTCTTTGTTTCCCTGTGATCAGACACACTATCCGTGGTTTCGTTAACCTTTAAAACAAATCGTGGAAAAGTTTAAATTATGACAGCCATAAAATTGTAATAGCGGAGCTCCTGTTCACAAACGCAGAAATGGAGCCCCATACTTATGAAAATATGATAACCAACCCAGCAGGATACACCTTTTTTTGGAATTTAATGCATGTACATCCTTAAGCAGGGTTTTTTTTTAAACTGTAAGATAAGCGTACCCTGTAATAACGTATCCAATACCTATTTGTTTACATACACACGTTATATAACTTTGTAAAGAAATGTTTCCGATACCTGTTTATCTTTGTCATCATCCATGTGATAGCCATCCGCGGGTGTAACTGACACTTCTTTACTTTTTATCCCACATCCCTCGAATGCTCTCAAATCTGCTTTATTTTTGTCAGGAGTTTTGGTGGCTGAAGACGCCTCCTTGTCATCGGCTTTCCCCGAGGACTTCAATTCTGGTTTCCAGTCTTGAATCAATTTTTGTGGAACCCTAGTTCCATCTCTAATCTGTCTTAACCAGATCTCGTTTTTCCGTGTGCGCTCTCGCATGAGTGCGTTCAACCGCCGACAAGTCTGCCATGAAGACTGAACAGTTTGCGCCATTTCCTGTGCTTGCTGTTTTATCCTGGTCTCTTCGGCTTCTTTTAGGGCTTGACGCTGAGCTCTTGCCCTTTTCATCCTTATTAGGATTCGATCGGCATCAGCGGCCATGGAACGGATTTTTGCCAAGCGCTCACAATCGGAACTTTTGCACTTATCAACCATGGCTTTAATTTGCGAGCCCTTCAACTTCATTGGGCGCACAGTCTTGGCGGGTTTGGTAGGCGATGGCCTTTGTGTCGTCAATCTACGATCAACTTTGACCTGCGATGTCTTCGATGACGGTTTCTTTAGCTGAAGTAAAACACATTTGCGTTGATTTCGTAGGCAACTCGGTTACCTTTTCTAACACAACCATTTTGACACTACCAAAAGAATCCAAAGCTTCAAAGTAGTTAAGGTCGAGGCAGGTACAGTCGAAACCTTATTAAGCGGTCACCCACGGGGAATGGCTGGGTGACCGCTTAATTCAATGATTAAGGAGGAACAAATTCAGGGCTTTGAAAAATGGCCGCTTAATACAGGGTGACCACTTAATACAGGTTTGACTTTATGTACTTTTCTCCCAAATTTCTCCCAGTTTCAACTCAAATAAAAACGTGATAAAAATATCGGACTGAATTGAAAAATAAACTCTTCAACATAAAAAAGCATAATTTGTCGCTGCAGCTGCCAATGAATGAGCTGTAAGTAATCGGATCCTTGTGTTTGCATACAGATTTTTGGAACCTCCACGGGGCAAACATTGCAACTGGCTAGAAGGAAATGTTGGGCGAAAGGTTGTTCCGACGTTCAAAAATCGATTTTTGAGAGAGATTATCGCTTTTTCGCCGCTGTTTTATCGAAAATGGATTTGGTTAATGCTGTTTCAAGGGAAGCATAAGTTTCTGTTTAAACAACCATAAAATATGTAGTAAACTCTACCGATTAACTTGTCTCTATGCGCAAAGTTTACTGTGAACTTTACATTGCGCAGTGATCTCGAAATTTAGAGAAACTAACTATAAATCGCCAAGAAATAACTTAAAAAAGCCTTTTCGGTTTTTTGGACGTGTGTTAAGTCTACTTCTAGCTTTTTTCTTTGTAATACTAAAGAGCACTACAACAGCTACCTCGAGGCACCAGGAGATTGAAACGGTGTGCTTGAGCATTAAATATTATCGTGGTACACTAAGGTGAAACACCTACACTGCTTCTTTGTTGTGATCGATGAGAACGAACCAGCGCTAGCGTTGATAATCGGCTTAAAACTGAACCCTGACGATGAGTAAGTACAAATGGGTCGTATAAGGAGCGATGCACAACTGATGATATATCTACAGTTTCTGCCGGGGTTCCCGTGACCTCCTTTCGAGGATAAAAGTTGCGGCTCGAAGACCTGTGGATTTTCCTCAAACATACTATCACTAGCCCTAAGGATTTCCCCATGCTTTTTATCCCTTATTTCATCCCTTTGGAGAGAGGAACAGCTCGGTAAACAATTTCCATCTCCGCTTACAAAGACTTCTCTCCTTTGAGGAGGTTTATTTTTAAACGTTGTAATTCGTTTATTTAATTTGCTAACAAGTATGAAAACAGGCTGTACATATATAAATACAACTTAAAATACTTAATTTATATATTTCCTAACGATTTGTGGCCAATTTTGTGATATGTAGAAACCATTACACGATAGACCTTACGCAAGGAGAAAAGTTAATCGGTATATTTTATAACATATTTCGTGGTAATTCTGACAAAAACTTACACTTCCCTAGTATCAACGTTATCTTTATCCATTTATGATAAAGCTGCGGTGAAAAAGCGATAATTTCTCTGCAAACACGTTTTTTTTTGGCGTCGAAACAACCTTTCGCCTTACATTCCTTTCCAGCGCGTTGCAATGTTTGCCCTGTGGCAATCCCAGAAATCTGAGCGCAAACGCAAGGGTCTGATTTCTGGCAACTCAATAATATGTAAGTGTAGTTAGATGGAGGAATTCATTCATTCTGGAATGAAACTCATACCAATAATAATTCTGTCAATTCAGCACCGGTTAAATCAGGTAACCTTATGGATTCTTTGACATTACTTGGAATTTCTCATCACTTCTTACGTGAATATCAGCCGCGTGGCGTTCAATCCAAAAAACAATCGATCAGAAGAGAGCAAACGAACAGTGAAAATAAAAAACTATAACAGTAAAAGAATGTAACAGCCAGTTTCAGTTAAGAGTCACTTACCAGCCGGTTTATTGCTAAATCTACCAGGACTGAGACAAAACCCGCAAAGATTAAAATTGCTGTAATAGTCAAAACTTCCAGTAAAAAAACAAATTCGTAAACTTGAAATACTATCTCGTGATATGGCATTTTGCCACCACATTCGAGGGAACTCTCTCTTCTTACTCAATAATTCATGAACTGACTCTATGCACGTCACTGAAGTTACGATTGATGACGCGTTCGTTACGTCATAATAATTTGCTCCAAATGAAACGTCATCCCAGCTTACGAGTTTAATGACCTGCGCACGAGGGCTTGGAAAACTGACAAGGTAAAATTAAATGATTTTATATCATATTCTGTTTGAATTTATACTTTTTTATTGATAAGATCAAGTAAGAGACGGGCACATCACTCGAGTCGAAGTAAAGTAGAGTTGAAATGGAGCAACGAAGAGCTTTAGTGGTATTTGGCCCCAATGGCGCCAAAACGAGGTGGAATCAGGAAGGAAAAGAAAACAAAGTTCTCAGCGAAGTGAGACCAAATACCTTCGGACTGGATTGGAGCTCCACCCGAAGCTGCGAGGTGGGGATGAGCGGATCCCGATTTGCATTTTCTCAGTCAAACTTGGAAAAGACACTTTTCTATGTCACAACATATTTAATTTCCCAGGAACTAATACAGACGCGAAAGGTCTCCAGGGTGTTACGTGGGTAACACTGAATGTCTTTGGGAAATTAAGTACATCGAATTCCAACATAATGTGAATATTCAAATGACATTGTATGGGTTCTCCATGATCCAGATGAACTCTACTGTGCATCTCTCCATGTAACAAAACCCTTGCTGGTAGCAAGGCTAAGAGGGGACAAATAGAGGTGACGGAATCGGCAGGTTTATTCATTTCCTTGTAGCTATCTTGAAGTCTCGTTCACAGGCTCCTCTCTAATGTAATGAAAGAGGTCCATTAAGTAACTTTCTCAAGTTATTTTCCACGAGGCAGTTTATTCGTTGCGAATGACTAATTTATCTACGCTAATCACCCTGTATTCGTTCAGTCGAATTTCAATACCTCAACAAGTTTTATCAAGTTACGAGAAAAACACTACAATAAGTCAATAACTCGATACATTTTCCCTATAGACAAGCGACTCTTTGACCTGCAAAGGTACTTTTTCCATTGTTTTCGTTTCTTTTGATTTCTTTTTTCATTTAACATTAAGCGCTTTCCTTTCAACGCATCAAAGAAGCTTCCAGAGCTTTATTTCGAGAGTAAGAGGCCTGTTTTCTGAACAGAAATGTTGAGGATAGCCTTGTTCCCAGGTTTCTCACACAGATGGCAGACCTGGGAACAAAACAATCAAACTTCAACCAACAAGACCAACTGCGGACATAAAAACGATTGTATCTTCACCAGATGCCTCACTTACAGACCGAGCCATTTTCCTAATTTTTTCGATTTTAACCCAGTTTTCGTCAAAAGACGCATTGAAATAAAGATAAACTTTCAGAAGTTCCAATCTAAGTCAGCCCACACTATAGTTTTCTTACAGTACTTTACAATTCTGTACAACCATCTTTCCTTCATATACAGCACACCTCTCACTTCATCAAGTCGTTTATAGATGTCATTTTTCCAAATAAATTAACTCTTAATCGAAACGTTTAGCTAACGTTAAACTTGAATGCCATCAATTTTTCTTTTTTGCTCATTTACACAATACTACTATAATGAACAACGTACTCCATTATATTTTGCACAAAGTTGTATAACTGACACAACCAATCCTTTAACCAGTTAATTAGTTGTCTTTCCCCCCACCCCCCTCACCTCGTCCGCCAAAAATTACGTCAAATAGGACAACCAGCCGCATTAAACTAGCGCATTACCCTTGATCAATATAATTTCTAACATTAACAGCAAACCTAATAAAAAAAAAGAAAAGAAAATTGTGTAGTTTGCACCAAATTAATTAATGTACATCTCTTACGTGCACTTTCCTGTCTTGTAAACTTTTAATTCAATCTTTAAATGTTCAAGATCTGAATCAGCTATCTTTGTATTTTGATTCAATGGCTCTCACTTTACGCCTAAAATGATTCGACGTTCTCCCAAACGAGGACTTCCAGAGTACTTGCAACTAAGACACATTTATGGACGTTCGTGCAGCTTAGCCAAAAATATTACTGTACAGTCAATGGGATAAAATTTCGAAGAAACCAATTTGGAGGCACAAAAAGGTGAATTCATTGCACCAAAAGGGTGTAAGCACTATATATTGGGAAGAGCCTCCTACAAATTATCACGGTCGATGAACTCTTTGATTTAAAATAAGCCACTCCGGAAAAGCTTGAGTCTGAATGAAAACTAATTCTTATCCCATGAAACGGCAAGAATTAGACTTTTTCAAATAACTTTTTTCGACTATTCTAAGATGTCACGGCATAGGTGGAGGGGGTGGTGGTGGGGGCGATGATGGTTCAGGCTCTGGGGGTGGTGGAGGGGGAGCCATTCCGTGCATTACTCCTGGTATCATTCCTCCGGGAATCAAACCAGGCGGAAAACCAGACGGTAAGAATTGACCAGGAAATTGGCCGGCCGAAGGAGGATGCATTTCCGCACTTGGAAAACCAACTGGAGTGTTCAATGAAGAGAGCAGATTAAATTCCATCGGAGGCGGGGGAGGGGGTGGTGGGGGTGTCATTGGTTTAGCCACTGCTTGGGACGAAGAAGTTAACATTGGTGCAGGGTTTACGGAGTGTTTTTTAGGCGGTTGCACCACAGTAGCAGGCGGCTTATGCGACGAGGAATGGCCGTGCCCGTGGTGAGACGATGGCTTGTGGCCTGAAGAACCGTGTTGAGATGAAGGGTGGGGTTTCTTGGAAGAAGAATGGGAATGAGAGGAATGAGAAGAGCTTAGGGAAGCTTGAGAAGAAGAATGGTGAGGTGGGTGTGGCAGTTTGATGGCATGGCTTGAGCCGGAGCTGGCGCCTTTGTGATGAGAGGACGACGAAGCAGAAGGATGAGAATGCTTGACACTTTTAGACGGAGAGGAGTCAGACGACTGCGAAGACCCGCTGGGCCTCCGATGAGACGATGAATGCGCGCGCTGCGAATGAGAAGATTTGTGTTTCTTGACGGGTGTTCCGTCATCCTGAAGGTGATGATGATGATGCTTATGTTTGCGCGACGAATCCTTTGTAGATAATAAGGCTCCTGAAGTTGAATGAGCCGTAGATGTTGTCGTCTTGAATTCACTACCTGACATCTGACCAGTTGTCGTTACTGTTGCATATTTGGACGTTAGAGGTGGAAGCGGCGGTAAGCTGGGCGGCATCGTTGTTGAAGAAGCTGAAGAGCTAGCCGCACTTGACGTGGTCACAGTCGAAGAGACAGGCAACGCTTTGAGTTTACCCGATTCCTTCCGTTTCTCCTTCTCTCTTTCCTTATCTTTCTCAGTCTTTTGCTTTTGCGATGATTTGCCATCGAGATCATTTTTTAACTTTACCTCATCGCTATAAGAATAGCCATTATGGGCTCCGTCAATGCTGTTATGAGACGTGGCTAATGAAGATGCACCCGAACTGCTGCTCGCTGTGCTACTTATTTTACTTGACTCTCCTTTGGACACCTTACTGTGAGACACACCCTAAGAACAAAACAAAATCACAAGCAAACTCAAATCAAAGGGAAACATATCAGGCATACACAGCTTCATACAGTACCTCACATAAGATACCTTGAATTACGCACGCGTTTTGATTGGGTTTTTCTTATAATCTATTGGAGGACAGACGCATAGATGACGTCAACACTACCAAATTTTGCCTCTCATAAGACAAATAGATTCCATGTTGCCGTGGGTCTGTACAGTAATAGATCGCAAAACACTCAAAATGTGGTAAGAACATCAGTGACACACTCTGCCGCGCCTCGAGTGCCACTCTTCGTTCTTAACACATTTTGATGTCATTTATGATCTATCTCTGAACAGACCCACGGAAACATGGATTTGCTAACTGTTCACCAACGTCGTTCTTCCTTTTCCATACGAAGAGAACACTAGAACATCCGAGGAACCAAGCGACGACTCTGCCAAGTCTTTGTTACATAGGAGTTAAACTGAGGAACTCTTGCAATTTTTTAAAAGCTATTTCGTTCTATACAATATGGTCTTGGATCAATAACATTCCTATCATCAACAAGAATAAATTATTAAGTTTTTCGATGTGTCTTGAACCAGATTAACATCAAGAGCCCACACCAACAATGCATGGAAAAACAACCTGTCGCCAGCCTTAGCAAATTACTTTGAATCATCATTTATCTTGCCTTCAAGTTGGCAACGGAACTGATCTTTCTTTTAAGTCTGTTGGGGCACTTTTCCATCACTTTCAGAAAATCTTGTGCAATTTCTGGATTAAAAAAAAAATGTATGGCCACATTCAAACATTCAACTTGATGTACAACCATAGAGTGAATGACCGAATGAGTGAGAGAGTGAGTGACTGAGTGAGTAATATGGATGAATGAATGAATGAACAGATGGATGGATAACTAATTAAAATGTCATTGATTTTAGATAAAGTTTTTTTTTTTCTTGTCACGAGCGTGGGACAAAGAAAAAATTCTGAGTCCCCACGAGGAATTGAACCTCAAATCAAAGCACAAATCCGAAGGTCTGAGGTTGAATTCCTCATGGGGACTCAGAATTTTTCCTTTGTGCCACGCTCATGACAAGATGAAAAAACATCTTTCTTAATCATTGTTTTTATTAAACTAATATACACATTGATGTATTTAAAATACCAAGAATGACCAGGAAACTAAATCCATACCATCTAACATTGTTTTGTTGACCGTTGGATCAATGTATTCCCACCAGTCCTTTCCATCATTTGATCTTGGAATCTGCATGACAACACAGGAAACACCACCTTTTTTAAACTCCAAGTTTCAGGTTACGCCAAATGGCTAAGAATGTAAGTGCTTATTTGGGTTTTTGTAGTGTAAGGCTGCTAGAAATATTTCCTTCCTAACCCGCATAAGAGGGTAGAACTTCTAGCATTTTGTCATGTTATTTTGACAGTTTTCCACTATCCATTTATACTTCCCTGATGAGAGAGACATAGGAAGACTAAAGTGTCCTCCAAGAGAAGTTGAGAACAAAGAACAAATTGCTTCAACCAGTGATTCAACAATCGTCTTCAAAGTAGACAAGGAAAGTTATCACAAGATCCCTCCATTCAGGCTCAGCAACAATGTTATCTCTCAAAAATACATGAAATAAACATTGAATTAAAAATAAGGCTTACACTGTTCTTGTAATACATTTTGTCGTATCTCTCAAGTAATGTGTGATAAGAATGGTCAGTTCAGTGGGCTGCATTTCACTGTACAGCCTGCTAAATTCAAAATTATGTTGGAGTTGAAAACTTCATTCTCTATTTGAACCCAAAGGAATTACTAATAAATATCTAACTAACATCATTATCTCAGTAAGCAACAGCATCCTCTTGTTTTTTTTGGCTTACATTCTCTCCATAACTTACAATATGGACCACAAATTTGGTTAGTACCGGTAAGATGTACCTGTATGTTCATATTCATGTCTATTCAAAATAATTACCTCCCAATTAGACCACTTTGATGCAAGGTGAATACATGCACAGGCAACTACAGGTGGTTTGTACTGCAGACATAAAGTTGTGAGATGAAGACTGCAAGGGAAAATACAAAACAATTAGAAATGTTATTGATATGCAGATATAAACAGCTTTCATGATCTACATAACAAATACAGTAGACATGTATACCAAAAGTTTGTTTCCATCAAAATCACAAAAATAGACCCTTTCCCACAACAGAACCCAAAACTTTTAGGCTTAAAAATTGAAAAAAGATCTTCCTGGTAAGAAAGTATATCTTTTAAATAATGTATATACTGTCAAATCAGTACAACTCTTAATAATGGATCACACGAGAGTGTGAAAATATTTGTGTTTTCCCAGCAAATACCCTTGACCATAGAAATATCTGGAAGTATTGTTGTTGTTGTTTTTTTTTTTATCAAACTTAGAAAATCCGTGAACAATTGAGAACTTTTAGGAGTGCTTCTTGTGTCACAGAGATCACAATATGTCAGGGACATGCAAAACGAAAAAGTTAATTTTAATTGTTTGACTGGCTTCTTCCTTTTGAAAAAACAACATTGTAGACAGAATATTCCTGGTGTTCAAGGTTTTCCAAGCTTGACTCAGTATTGGTATGGTAGTACAATGCTAATTGCATGCATTAAAATTGTCAGCTGCAGGAATGTTTGAGAAAAACCCACAGCTGTGTGTACAAGTGGGAACCACACTCAGTGAGAGCACCACCTGCTGTCCAAAACATCGACCACAGGTCAAAAGCACATGTTGACAGCAACAACACAAGGTAGGGAGGTTCTACCTGTTTGTGGCCATGAAGTACGATGTCTGGCCAAGGTCCTTGCTGGCTGGATTGGGTAGTGTGAAATGTCATATTAGCATCAAATAATTGACCAAGAGTACATAACAGAGGCAACATTTACACAAGGAGTATGGTATTGAGGACTGAGCAAAGGAACATCATGAAAACTACTCTGGGTGTTTATTAAGAATCAGAGTTGAGCAACTCTCTGGGTACTGTGTGTAATTTCCCAGCTAAGTTTCTGTGGCCTAGGTCATTGCTTGGTTAGAAATGGAGACTTTTCTCCTTTAACTTACACTGTACTCCTGTTATTAAATTTCTAAATAAAAACCGTGCTAGTATAAACTAAAAATGTACATCTCAAGGACCTTCGTAAAAATTCAACGGAGATTTTTGGACTCAAGTTTAGGGCAAGCTCTATTAACAGCCAGACTTCACTCAAAGAAATTTCACTCTAGAAATCTTTGGGATTAACAAGGTTCTTCAAAGTTTTAAAACAGACAATAGACAGTAAAAATTAATTGATTTTACTACAATCTGAACTTCCAGTGTCAGCAGACAAACAAGACTTGAGTAAAGTTCTACTTCAATCTTGTCAAAGTACAAAGCAATCTTTCAACTTTGCTGTGCATACACTGTAGTTCTTTGTTTTTTTGTTAACAAGACATGTTGCCATGGAATATATTGATTCCCTGGACCAGTTTTGCATTGTTTTGTTTTGTTTTTTGCTTTTTCGTCCACAGGCAGTCCTACACATCAACGGTTACACCTGAATGCTTCTCACCTCTCACCAGCTGAATACACTTGACTACATAAGTGTGTGGATGGCTAACAGTGATCTCAAATCCTGCAATCATTTAAAACAGACAATCAATAAAAACAAACAAATAAACAAAATTTAAGGGAAAGTACCAGAAACAGAGCCTAGTAGAGCACATACACACATACACCACTGTCAATTTTTATAGACTTTAACAATCACCTGGCCTTGGTTGTTTGAAGGCTGGATAACGCTATCCACTTGTTAACTCAGTGTGTTTTCTTAACCCTTTAACTCCCAAGATCTGATTATCAATTCTCCCCCCTAGCTGCTACACATTTCCTTGTAGATTAGTTTCAAGAATTTGGTGTTAGATCAAGATAACAACATATACCTGATTAGTTTGAGTATTCTCATTACTTGTTTGCTAGATAATGTATGGCTATTACAGGGAGAAGTTACATATTAATCACTGCTGGGAGTTAAAGGGTTATCACTTATTCACTGGATGGCAATTTATCCACTGGATAGTGTTATCTGCCCTTTGAACAACAGGACCTTAGAGTGCTAATTGTTGCAGGTTATATCAACCCCTGTTAAAGTGGAGCTTGCATAGCCCCATAATTATACAAAATAGTAGTAACCCATCAAGCCGAAAAAATTTGGATGTACAACTGTATGACCGTATAACCATACAAGGTGCTACTTTTAACATGCATGGTCAACTGTACCGCAGGCACGCCAATGCCACAGCCTTGTCCAGTAGTCCAGTGGTCAGTGCACTGGGCTCCGAGTTGGACCACCTGGGTTCTAGTCCTGGCTGGGGCAAGGCATTGTGCCCTTGAGACATGCGGAAAAAAAAATGCGAGCTCCACTTGGCTAAATCTATATATTATCTGAGGAAATTTCTGACTATTGTAATTTATGAGGACTGTATAGGGCTGAGTAATCCTTACCAATGAGTACTTTACCAAATACTTCTTTTAGATGTAATTATATCAGTGAGAGCAAACAGAAGAGATACCAGAGATTCCTTTTTTTACCTAGTGTTTGTAACAAAATGGCTTCATTTTCAATCATATCCTGAGCCTGTTGCAGGTATTCCTTATAAAAACAGAAAAGAAATAATCACTCAAATCCTAAATCTAAAGCTCGGCAACACATGTCATGTGGCAAATGGAATAAGTCACAGTCACAATATGACATAAGAAACTTTAGTGAAAACGTACAAAGCATGTTCCAGGGACAAAATTTTATCTCTAGAAAAACTGCCCAAATTCAGGTTTGTTGGAATTTGTGTGGCAATTTCAGCCATAAAAATTTCCTTATTTTTTATTATTCAGAAGCAATACACACATGGTGGTTAGTCACAGAGACCTTTCATATTGACTTGTCAGTTTCAGTGCATGTGTTCCAGCAAAAAAAGAATATTCTACAAATCTCATGTTGAAGAGTCTTAGTGTCTGGCTCTTAAGGTTGCAAAAAATCACCGCAATACTCAGGGAAGTTTGCAATATGTCATCTAACATGTAAAACAAGGTGTCTACAATGAATTATATAATAAGCTCAGTTATGCACGCATTCTGATTGGTTCTCACTTATGATCTATTGGAGGACAGACGAATAGATGACGTCATCATTAAAACTTTTTTTTAATTCTTTGTTACATAAAACAAATAGATTCCAAGTTGCCGTGCGTCTTTTCAGTAATAGATCACAGATGATGTCAAAATGTGGTAAGAACAAACAAGTGGCACACAAGGCACAGCCGAGTGTGTCATTGATGTTCTTACCACATTTTTGATGTCGTCTGTGATCTATTACTGAACAGATGTGTGTCACATCAGTGACACACTCGGCTGCGCCACGTGTGCCACTCTTTTGTTCTTACCACATTTTGACATCATCTGTGATCTATTACTGAACAGACACACGCCAACTTGGAATCTATTTGTTAAGCACAATAGGGGGTAAAATAACTATAATTCAAAAACATGACGAAATCATACCTCACTCTTTGGGTCCAAAGGTGGACCATCTCTGTGCAGGCAGGCATGAGCCACCTTTATTACATGCTCCAATTTCCGTGGTTGTTCCTCAATTTTTGCAGCTAAGAACAAACAACAGGGTGCCAAGGCCTATAATAAAACATGACAATTATTTCAAAAACAATATTTGCAGAGAAAGGGAAAGGGAAAGGTCTTTTTAGTGATGTTACAGTTAACAAGTTTTCTGCAAGTAGTTGTCTGAAATGTTAACCTATCTATGGGGATGTCAAAATTAGTGGGAAATTAAAAAACTGCCTGGCAAAATACTGGTTGAAAATACTGCCCACAGTCAAGAGAGTTGAAAACAGAAGTAGTTCAAACAGAAAGGTTTTCATGCTTTTGTACAACAAGTTAAAAAGAATACAGATGTTAGCTTTCTTCCAAAAGCTCAAATGTCCATGACCAAAAGACAAAACAGCAGATAAATGAGAGTAAAGAAATACAAGCTAAATCACAGGGTTTACAGATTTAACAGTTTACAGATTTTAATTCCCTAAAAGAAGGCAACCATAAAATACAATAATCTAATGAAACTCAAACAAAAATTACGCATACAACTGGTGTAAAAATAAAATCTACACAATCGTCAAAATTGGTACCTCATGTGTCTGACACTGAATTTATGTAAAAATGCTAGGATGTGGAAGACACCACATTAGTTTAAAACACAAATTATTCGTAAGAGAAATTAGCAAACAAAAAGAAAACAAGAATCCAGTTTAAATTTTATCACATAAACAAAAGAAAATGAGCGGAAACATTTTTTTATCATACTTACGTTTCGATGGAATTTGTTAAACGAATGGAACATATAAAATCTGTGCATGTAAACGATGGCTGTGTTTATAGTCAGCTGGCTCCTTAAAACCACGTCAAGGAACAAAAGAAAGTATATTTCGTGTTTTTAATACTCTAAGGAACAAAGATTTTAGAATATATCACTGGCTAAGCTGTACTCCTCGCAAAGTTATGTTACAACGCACAAACTACTACCGGATAATTACAGAAGGCAAATAAGAACTCTCTTTTTCGAAAAGATACACTGAGAGACGTTGTCCCATATCTTGGATAAGCGTTGCTGCCTGTTGCCTGTAACTCTGCTCTTTCTCTGGATCGACTCCATTTTTTCGGGACGGCGTATTTTCCAATTGTTCTTTGGTGAAATAAAAGCGGTCTGTGGTACTCACAGCACTGGTCGCCATGTTGGAAAAGCAAGGTATGATTTGCCCATGCGTGTAATTACTCGTCTCAGTTTCCTCTCGGACTCTCGACGTTCAACTGAGCCACGCATGAGCAGTCAGCACCAGGCAACAGTGACAAAAGACAAGAGATACTATCAAAATATGTAATATGGCGGATAAACACGGCTTCTCTGTGAGAGAGAAGCAGAGAAAAGCGGCGAATTTCAAGGCTCTTTGCCACACGGAGAAAGGACGAAGCGATATACGAGGATTTTTAGATGACATCCTTAGTCTACAACATTCATTCGATGCAGAAAGTCAAGATTGGTGTTTGTGGCTAATCGCTAGTGGAACACCTCCAGAGGAATTTAAAAATGTCTTGAGGTCATTCGACTCGCCGACAATCTGTGGTCTGGTGTGGAATAGAAACTTTGTGGCATACCGATGCAGGGACTGTGGAATCTCGCCTTGTATGTCATTGTGTGCAGACTGTTTTCACGCAGGTAATCACGAAGGCCATGATTTCAACATGTTTAAAAGTCAGGCTGGTGGAGCGTGTGATTGTGGAGATGAAGATGTCATGAAATCAGACGGGTGCGTACAATATTTACAGATTGACCCCTCTAAGTTATTGATGATAGATCTGAAGGGCTACGTAAATCCCTGCAATTTTGAGAGATTTCTCTGAATCATTCTTTTAGTACTAATTATTTCGTTTGATCGATTAACTGTTGTCCTTGTTGACGTATATGGAGTTATTTTGATTCAGTGTGAGGTTGAGAGGTCAGTCGCTGTGATCGCCTGAGGCGATTCCGTATGCATTCTGTAGAAACGTCTATCTCTTATAGTTTCAGTTCTGTTCATATAGTTTGATATTTTCGAAACGAAATTTATTGTGAGTAAAAGTCTTCAGATGTTTCAGTTTTAAAAATTGCGATATCATCATAACACTATCGCGTAACATTCCGCATTTAAATGAACTGATATCTCTTACATGGACATTTGAATAAATCATAACAAACTCTTTTTTGCGTTCTGTTAAAACGAGTGGGCTTTGGAGCATGGCAATGAAGCACTGAGAAGTATTTGTAAATTATTAATAGCTGAATATCGAGTAGTAATTAATTCAAAATAAATGTCTTAATATCATCACCGACATTCTTCTGCGGTGGAGCTTTTTAACCCTTTAACTCCCAAGATCTGATTGTTAATTCTCCCTTCTAGCTGCTACACATTTCCTGTTAAATAAGTCATGAGAACTTGGTGTTAGATCAAGACTACTAACTCTTACTGGATAAGTTTGAGTATTCTCATTACATGTTGGCTGGATAATGTGTGGATGTTATAGGGAGAAGTTACATGTTAATCACTTATGGGAATGAAAAAGGTTAAGGTATATACAATTGTAAGCCTTAAATCATGCCCTTGAGCTAAGGGACCCATGTGGGCCCAGGGTAACCAAGTTTTTGGAGCAGTAGGAGTGCCACTGCTCTCTCTGGATGACCACCCTTCCCTTTCCCCTCCCTCCCTCCTACAGTATTTCATCAGGTTACATTGACAGCTCACATGTACATACCTACTTATACTCCTGGGTGGGTGGTAAGTATATATTGTGCACAAGCATCACACAACAACTCAATCAGGGCTGTAACCTTGACCTAGAGTTCACGGTGCTCAAGAATAGGCCAAGTCAGAAATGTCAACAATCACTGGTACCAAAACAGAAATTTCTAGTGAATCTAGAGTTTAAGAGCATAATTATGAAGTACCATGAAGCAATGATAAATAGTGTAGTTTAAATTATATGATTTTCTACTTGGCATCTTAAAATGAAATACGAATACTCTAATCAACATTCTTCAGTAGAACTTTTTGAATGCTAAAAGTAAAATTTCAAGTAAACTTAGGTGTGTATTGAAATTGAACTGCCAGACCATTTAGTCACCTGAGCTCAGTTGTATAAAGGTTGGATAATGAAATTAGGAGATCCTCGCAGCTAAGAACACTACTGAAACGAGTAGTTGTAAATAGGACATATACACTGGTATCGCAGAGGTCATGGGTTCAAATCCCGTACAGGCCTGAAATTTTTTTCAGGTCCTATTTACAACTACTTGTTTCAGTAGTGTTCTTAGCTGCAAGGATCTCCTAATTTCATCTTTCCACCGCAGTGCAAATATGTGAATTTTCATATATCTAAAATCTTCAGGTTGGATAATGTTATCCTATGTATAAATTGCTATCCAGCAGATTATTGATAGCAAAACATACTACATAGAGATAGACAGATAGAGATTTATCTAGTGGATATTGTTATCCAACCTTCTAACAGCCGGGGCTTGGAGAATTCTACTTGTGTTGCGTTTCTCAGTACAAAATTTCTATAACTTTCTAAAAAAGCATGGTGCCAAAAAAATTGTGACAGGTATATTCTAAGTATTTTGAAAAGATCTCTTTATGTTTTTGAAGGTTTTGTAGTCGTCATGGGAGAAAGGACACACATGTTATCAGAACTCCCCCTCCAGCACTGTTGGACATGGCTAAATTTGTTATTCCAAGGTTGTGTTTAAGACTGCAACAACAGTTGAAAGAATTGGAACCATATGCAACAGGTATGTTTGTGTTTTTAAGGTATTTTGTATTGTGGGCCATAAAGGTAAATTAAAAATCCTTTTAAACATGTTGAGTACAGCTTCACCTCTCTCAAATAGTATGCAACTGACTGTTGAAAGTAATTCCGGTTTCCTCTGCTTTTGTTTTTCATTTTGGTGTGATTGGTTCAGAAAACTTGCACCACTTTCTCAAGCGCTCAGATTCAAAACTGAGACAATTGCAATCCAATCACTGGCATTTTTCTATGTTAAAGGTAGTTGCTTGTTTTAGTTTCAGTTCTGTTTGGCATCTTGTAAAGTGATATTTTTCTTTTTTCTCTTTATCGGTTGTGGTTACTCTGGCATAATCTTAAGACACTTGGTCTAAGAGAATGCTGTTAACTTGCAGAAGTACATGTGTAAGAACATGTACCAGTGGTGAAGAACATTGATGATATGACTTTCTTTCTTTTCAGATACACCATCTGATGACATGAGTGATGCTGAAGGCCTCTTTCATTTCCTAGTTCAGTTGTGTGACACAAATACTATGAAAAATGTCACCGCTGAATCCTTGATCATGAAAATAGTAGAAGTAGAAGGACTATTTATAAAGGACTCAAGATTATCGTTGACTACGTCCAGGTCACATCATGGCATTGGACACTCTTCAGTTCACAGAATGGACAGCTCAGACTCGTTTTCAAGTTTCTTGTCTTCTGACAGTGTTGACGATGTTGTAAACAAAACATTTTTGGACTTTTTAATGGATTTTGTGACACAATTTGAATTTCCACAGAAAGTAGTGACATTTCTGCTTCATTTTTTACCATGTGCTAAATACAAGGTAAGTAGGGTCTCTTTTTAATGGTTAAAGTTTCACCTTGAATTTGACCCTACACCTGTGACCCTGACCTTCTGCCATGATGAAAATACTCTTAATATTGCACTCATCATTGGTTTTGCATATAGGAAGCATTTACCAGAGTATTCTGTGAAAATTATCAGAAGATTGCCAAAGCACTGGTTCTGAACAGTGATTCTAGTGACAGTGTGGACCAATTGTCAAACCGAGTGGTACATGTCAGTGTGCAGTTGTTCAGCAACAAAATCCTGGCAGAGAAAGTTGTTCGGGAGCAGAATCTTCTTCATGTAATGGTCAAAGTGTTGCATGACATGGCAAGACCTGCTCTTGTGACTTTTAGGCGAGGAGGTACACCTATTGCTTTTATTAGATACATGTATTTCAAACTAGGGTAAAAAAGGAAGCTTGTTGAACATGATGGCCCAAAAAGTTCAGCGGCAGAAACAAGATTGTCAAAGTATGTGTAGCCCTTTGCACCATAACATCAGCATGCATATTCTCCATAGTATTTCCTACACATTTCCTAAGTGGTCGACAAGGAGAAGTTGTGTAGCATCAAAAGCCTCTTCTGTTGGTGATCATTTCGATTTCCTCAGGGGTGATATTGGAGAAACTAGAGACTAGTCACTCTTAGGGGGTCAAGGAGTTAACAGAATTTTTTGTTTAATTTTTTATTACAGCATACAAATGTGCTTCCTACTGATGGTTTATCATGTATTGTGATGTAAAAATATTTGCCTATTGATATTTGAACTAAGCTGATGGGTCATCATCCATGTGCTCATGATTGTTACAACTTTATTGTTGTTTACAGACGCAGCATCTAATCATGATGTGGTGAACTGCGAAAGTCGTGCTCTGAGCAATCACTGTTACTGGCCAATAGTAAGCGACTTCATCAATGTTCTATCCCACAAGACAATAGCTGATACATTCATGCAGAATTCTGAACTGATTAAGAAGTGGATGAAATTCATTGAATATTTAACTGGTGAGTTGAAGGTTGATTATTTACTTCATTCAAATTAAGTGGTCAAGAACAGCTTATTCTGTTGTCTAGAGCTTGTACAGTATGTCGTACAAAGTGATGTAGTTTACTATGAATCGCCGGTCAAGATAATTTTTTTAACCAGCTTGATATGTTTTTACTGTTGCCAGGTATGTTACCATAATCTGTAGATAAAAGAGAGCACAAATCAAATTTGTTTGAAATCATTTCAACCCTTTACACCCTAACATCTGACTTTGCTTTGTCTGATTCATTGGAAAGGTGAATCTCATAGATTGTACTGAATACGATACCTAATTGACAAAGTTATTTTATTTACATTTTTCTCTTTGTAGGAATGAATGTAAACACCCGTAAACTGCTGACACATGTTGAGTTTGAACCCAACACATATGGAACAGCATTTGCTGTGGAGCTTGAAGCTGCATCTTCACCTCTATGGAGTTTTGTAAATGCATGTATTTCACTGGTAGGTTTTTTACAGAGGCTGAGTGTAATTGAGGTTTATATAGATGTGAGTTTAACAAAAAGCAATGTAACACTGCAGGATGTTCTATCAGCATGGGAATTCTGAGAAATCTGTGGCTACTATTATGAATTTTTCTAGCTGAATTTCAATGGTCTACTGGTGCTATTTTTGAGGTAGAAAATTGGTGTATATTGTCCTGTCACTTTACATTATTCCCCTGTTACTACATCCTACCTGGTCAGGTAAAAAGGCACTAGAATTAATCAATTTGGATACCCTTTTACATCACCTTCATTTCTTCAGTCCTAGATTGATAGGGACTGTTAAGGCTGCCTGGTTAGGCCTCTGTAGATAGGGTGGTTCCTCATTCTACAGTGTACATTACATTTTGTAGTATCTAGGAACTGTTCATGTTTGTTGCATTTGTATTACTGGAGCTCTGCCTATAGTAGTTCTTTCATTTTTGCTAATATAGAAAAAAGTACAGTGTGTTCAAAACATGATCTATGGAAGTGTTGAGGCTCTTGAGAGATGGTACAAGAAAGTGGATAGCAAGGTCTGTTTGTGTCACTATAGGTGCTACACATTGTAAAATGGCTTGAGATTTTTTGTTCAAATAGGCATCATGTAAGTTTACGTCAGAATACCCACATTTAACAAACCCCCCCCCCCCTTAGCCTAACTTTCAAAGACTGGTGCAGATTGTAAATTTTAATTGAACTTCAAGGTACTTGTAAAACACTAAAATTTAATGAATACCTACTAAGATACATGAAGAAAGTGGCAAAAATTCATGGACATTTTAGTACAACTTACAGTAGGAGACCTAGGAGTCACTTTTTAGTAAATGTCATCATAACAATTGTTCATGCATAACAATGGGGCTTGCCGAATTGTCATGGCACTACATGAGCATGCCAAGCTTAAGTTACAAACTAAGCCAACTCAGCTCATGTGCAGTATATAATTAAGTCTTTTTTTTTATTTTGTTTAGCCTCAGCGAGGAGAAGTTACATTTCATTTACCTCTCCATCGTCATCTTGCTGCATTTATTAGCCTGGTAAGGATAGAACAGTGTTAGTTGAACAATTAACAATTGGTTCATTCGTCAGCCTGCATTCATCAAGATATGAAGCATGTGGGAAGTTTGGAGAGCATGAAAGATGCGGAAGAGTTGCTCAAGGCATAGCTGAGAGTAACTCTAGCTCCTTGAGTGCTCTCCAAACTTCCCAAGTGCTTCATGTCTTGATGAATGCACAGCTGACATATGAACCAATTGTTTTATAACATTTTCAACCTGATGGAAATTTTTTTTTTCAAGGGATTTGTTTGCTGATGTCATGAGCGTGCACAATAGGAATAGGAAGCACTCTTGCGCAATTGAATTTGATTACACAAATTTACTGGCTATGTTATAAACCCTTCTGATGCTTGCTGTGTTATCTTTCAATTGTGACTCTTTGCTGATCATTTTTAACACTTTACAGGCTGTATCTCAGTTTGATGTTCCTCTTGAGCAAGTGGTTCCTTCAAGTCACCTACTGAGGAACATTTGTGAGGATCTTTTACATATCCAGGTGAGGATATTCTTGTAATATGATACAAAAACTCACAAATTGAATGTATGATATATATGGTGTCTTGTTGAAAGTCTATTAGTTGAACTGTCGGTTCACTTGTATCTGTGTGCTGTGTACTCTACTGTACCACTCAAAAGTAGGTTGACAGCCTTGACTCAAAACTTACTCCTTGAATCCAATGCTCAAAACTATCAAGAATCAAGGCTCGAATTTCAAGTATCAAGAATCAAGATGCTCAAAGAACTTTTTGAGGATCTTGATTGCAGCTTCAAGGAAATAACTTAATTCTTGCTAGCAGAACAATAGCCAAAGACAAAGGGCTTGACAAGTGGCTTTGTGACACAGAAGC